CCTCGACGGCGTGATCCAGGTCACCGAGCGCGACGAGTTCTCGTACCAGGAGATGATCTCGCACCTCCCGCTCTACTCGCACGCCAACCCCAAGTCGGTGCTCATTGTCGGCGGCGGTGACGGCGGCGTCCTCCGCGAAGTCGCCAAGCACCCGAGCGTCGAGAAGATCGTCATGTGCGAGATCGACCCGATGGTCTGCGATGTCTCCAAGAAGTTCTTTGCCGACACGGCTCGCGACGACGTTCAACGACCCGCGCCTCACGCTCATGCACGACGACGCGGCGGCGTTCCTTCGCAACGGCGACTGCGGCAAGTACGATGTCATTATCGTCGACTCGTCGGATCCGGTCGGCCCCGCCGAGGTCCTCTTCCGCTCGGAGTTTTACGAAAGCATGAAGAACGCGCTCAACCCGAACGGCATTGTGTGCACGCAGGGCGAGTGCCTCTGGCTCCACATCGACTTGATCGCCGATGTGCTCAAGCGCGTCGGCGGGTACTTCCCGACGGTCCAGTACGCCTACACGACGATCCCGACGTACCCGTCCGGCCAGATTGGTTTTGTGCTCTGCTCGCTCGACGAGTCGCCGAACGCGCTCAACAAGCCCAAGCGCATCGTCGACGAGAAGACGGCCGAGAGCCTCCGCTACTACAGCTCCAAGATCCACGAGGCCGCGTTCGTGCTGCCGTCGTTCGCCGAGAAGAAGATCGCGCCGGTCCGCAAGACCACCGTCTAACACCCGCCACATTTTGACCAAATTTTAAATTTAACAAAGTGTGTAGTTGTACAGTCGGACTCAACAAGCGGACTCATTGACCCTTGTGGTCAACGCAGCAGATCGTACGCGTCCATGGCGGGAACGACGGGGAGGAGGCCCGTGCGGTGTGCACTCAGGGAGGCGACGCTCCGCGCGGTCAGAGCCCATTTGCTCTGGCTCGACAAGGCCGACCAAGCGTGTCACTATTTTGCCCTGAGCACGAGGTGTACCATCACTTCCTCGTCGACCGCCCCTTCATCAAGGACATGTGGGGCATGCTCCACGCGGCCAAGGACGTCAGCGCGGAAGACGCGATCGTTCCGGACTCGCCAGGCGTTGTTGAACCAGATGTAGGCGCGAAGCACGGGTCGGAGATAACGGCTTGTTGCACCTTGCAGGCCGTCGTCGGCGTCGAGTAGAGGTGTAGCCCGAGAGCGTTGTCGGCAAGACCTATGTATAACCACTCCCAAGTCCATGCACGATTGTCGTCAAGGCGGCGCATGTCGCTCAGCTGCACTTGCACCACGTTCAAGAGCAGCCCGAGCAGCCCGCTCTTCGTCGGCTTCTCCGGCTCCTCGCCCAACACGAGTGGCCGCGCCGGCACCTTGTCCCGCGGATCGCGAATCGCGATGCGCTGGCGACCAAGTCGGTTGAGGGACGTGATCTTGGTCGGCAGCCTAAGAACTGGATCACGAAGGTTGCGAATGCGTGCAGTAGAACTAGCACTCGTGGCGCTCGCTCGTCGTTTTCCGGCCTAGAAAACGTGTCATCGCGTCTGATTGGTAGATGAAGAACAGAGCTCGTGGATTGGTGGACTTTTAGCCAATCAACGACAAGTGCGATTTACGATCTGAGGATCACGACACGGCTAAGGATCACGTCACGGCGGTGACGGACAAGGAGGTACGGTCTGCGACCTGCGGCAACGAGCAATGCCTGGAGTGTGACGAAGAAGGTCCGATGACATATTGTTGTAGTCTGCGCCGATGCAGGCTGACTGCAAGAAAAGGCGACTTGGCTAACGTGCAGTCCTTGCTCAACGACGGCGTCAACTGCGCTGACAGATGCGGCGTACAAGCCTATCGCGTCGCTGAGATATGAAATGTTGTGCTTTAGGATATGTGGACGCCACTGCACGCGGCGACCGCCAACAGCCATCTACCCGATGTCCGCTACGTGCTCGACTAAGGCGCCAATATTGAAGAGCGTTGATGTCTTCCCCGCGCCTTGCGAGGTGGTTCCAGTCCTGGCACACCGCGCGGCCTTCGCACGCGCGCACCAGAAAGCAAGATAAGAGCTGAGTATTCCTGCAGGAGCCGACCTGCATGGCCGAAACTCCCGCTTAACCGTCGATATTGAACTATCCACGGGTCCTATCCACGCCGATCCTTTGGCACCGGCGGATAACCTTGGTCGATCCGATCCGTGCACATCACTTCCCCCATGGTTTTGCCCGGCGCTCGCATCGCGCCTTCTTCAAACGCCTCCTTGCGCTTGCCTGCGGCCGCCTTGGACACATTTGCCTTGAGACAGTCCTCGACCATCCTGACCTCATCCTTGAGGAGCTTCGCCGCTGGCTTCCGCGCGTTCTCGAGCTTGTCCGACCCGCGCCACTTGACACGCAAGGACCACAGTCCACAGCTGAACTTGCGGCCATCGGGCTCGTCGACGAGATGTCCGCCTTCGACATACGCGGTGTGTCCTTCGGGGACTTGCGTCACGTTGACAACCTTGGCGGCAAACATCTCGAGCCGGGAGATATGATGGATGGATTCCGACCCATCGAACGGTTCCTCGACCTTGAAGATGTCGTCGGGGAGGGCTTCGACAACGCGTCCTGGCCCAAGCCACTGCACTTAAGGTTTCGCCGATGCGACACTTGCAACCCGTCCAAGCAGGACGTAGTCGCCGATCGTTAAGCGTATGCCCTTGACATTGGCCTTGGCGTTGCGTTCAACTGCCCGTCGCATATCGCCGACCACCTTGGTCGTACGATGGAGCTCGCCTTGAGCTCGCGCCTGATCGTCGAAGAGCTTGGGCTTCTTCCACTCTTCGAGCTGCTGCGACACTTCGATCCTGCCATCGTGGAGGGGAGCGTCGAGCACTTTGCTTGGCAGCGGCTCGGTCATCACCGTGGCGGGAGCCTTCCCACCCAGCCGCGCCCTTGGCGCATAGTTGAGGACATGTTGAACCGCTGGCTTCAGAACCCGCCAGTTGTCCCACTGCATCTTCTGCGTCTTGCCTCGCGCGTCATCGCCGTGGATAATCGCCGTAACCTGCAGACCGCCTTGGTTGCTGGTCACATGGTCGATCATCGCTTGCGGCACGATGAGGTTCTCCGTCGGGAGCGACTCCACGCGCGATGCATCGTGGGCAGACGTCGCAACGCTGCCCTTATCGTGAGCACGGACAATTGCATCGTCCGACACCACGAGGGTCAGTTGCAGTCCACGCCACTGGATTTGCGACATCGTCGCATAATGTTGGGCAGCCTTGCCCACAAGCGCTTCGTCGCCCCTTGCCGCACGCTTCTTGTCGGCACTGGCTTGGAGGCGATCGCGTTCCTTGTTGCGCTTGTTGTCACCGAGCTCCGTCGGCAACTTCTGCGACATGTCCTTGACACAGCCGCAATGGCCAGCCCCTTCCGAGACGCATCCTGCGTTCGTCGACTTAAAGGCAGCCTTGACAGACAACGACACCTCGTCGTTGCCCTTCGCCGACAGTGAGAGCGGTTCCATCTGGACACTTTGCTCCGTTGTGGTATCGACGATTGCGCAACTCGTCGGGAGCGCCAGTCGATTACCGATCGACTCGCTCGGGACATTGCTGGTCGACGACGCCTTGTCATCGCACCAAAGCGGACACCATCCGGGCGTCCTTGTCTTGGCGCCCAGCACGTTGAGGGACTTGTAGCGGAAGCGCATCGTACGCGTCACAGCCTCCATGGCCGTGAGATAACACACTTGCTCGCGATCCCTTTCGCCGGGAACACACTGGCAGACCTCACCTGTCGTGGTGATGTCGCCACTAATACCTTGATCGTTGAGGCAGACGCACAGACTGGTATCGTCTTCCTCGGTTGCCTGGAAGAAGCCTCGCGGCTGCGCCATATGGCTGTTGTAGATGATCCCGTCGTCGTTGGGCACCTCGAGCTTCTCATCGATCGATCCAACATCGGCCTTGACGTCTTGCCACGATTGCTGCTCCAGACACTCGCCGACGACCATCGGCAGCGACTGATGCGCATCCATCGCCGTCTGCGTGTAGAGCCACTGAGGACATTGCCGACGACCGTCAGTGTCCATCGCCTTGTCAGCTAGCTCCTTGCTGCCAACCATGGCTTGGTCTGCAGTGGCATCGGGCTGCTCGATCATCCGAGCCTTCACCGTGATGCTCACGAGTCCTTGCCACTTGCAGTTGGACTCGGAGGGACTGACCGTCATGTCGTTGATCATGTCCACGGGTAAACCGCGCGTAGTTGACGCCACTTGCACATGCCGATCGTCTTCGAGTTGATCGCCGGAGAAGAGTCTTGAGAACTCTTCGAACTGGCGGCTCACCACCCCCAGAAGTTGAATTGGCTGTGGCAATGGCTCCAAGTCTGGTCGGGCTTGGGCTACTGGTGCCTCGTTGGTTGGTTCTGTGGGCTTTTCCCACGGCGGCTTGCCGATAGGACCACCGCCATAGCACTCGTGCACTTCGAGAATCTCGACGCGTGTGAGGTCGAGACGGACATCGGTCGCCGACGAAGGCGACTCGTCCCACAGCGTGCGCTTCTTGCACACCACATCTTGCAGACCACACTGCTTGATCGTCTCTGCGGATCTCACGGAAGCACCCTTGCTGCCACGAGTAATCTCGACCGTCGCACCGGTCGAGCTCTGACGCACGCTCCACGCGCCACCATCCTTGGTCTGAGAGGAGCTTTCGGCCACCTTGGACAAAGCATCCTCGGTTGACCACCCCTTGTCGCGCTCGGGTGGCACTGCGCACTCCGTCGCAGGCCGGCCTCGACTCGGCTGCCACGACATGTCACTTGACCAAGCCGTCGTCGGGCTTGAGACCATGTCGGCGTCTTCCGAGCCCGACGCTGTAGCGGTCACACCGCTGCGCTTTGATGCCAGTTGAGATAGCTTGTCAACGCCGTTGGTTCTTGCCTGAACCAGGTCGTGCTTCGTCATCCTGACATCCTCGCGTTGACTGCGCTGTCGGGTGCTGCCGCCGTTGCAGTCGACATCCACCGAGTCAACCAGCTGATGGCCGCGTGACGGTCCACCGCACGCTGCAGCGACATCGTCGCCGCGCTCCTCGACCACGACACCGAGGTTGCACATAAAGCCTTCGCTGACCGTCGACACGGTCGTCTGCGCAAGGCCTCGCCCCAGAATATCCGATTCCTGAGACACCTCGGCTGTCACAGCGCGGTTGACGTGCTGCTTGCCATTCTCGACACGCTCGACCAGGACGCTGTCTGCTGCGGCGACTTGAGGACTCTCCTCGTCCAGCCAGCGTACTTTGCGCACCGCCTTCTTGACGGCTTCGCTCGCGGCTTTGCTCATCGCCACGGTTGCCGGAGAGGGAATCGCATCCCCGCCCCCACGAGCTTGCTTGACTGGGCGAAGCTCGTAACACGTACTGTCTGGGTTCGCCTGGCACTTGCGTTGCCCCGACTCCTGCCGTTGGCATCGCGCGTCATCGGCACCGAGCTGCCGTTTGAGGTCGCCGTCAGGTACTTGCACCCGACGGCTCTGTGGGCGCCTCCTGGCGCGGCCACTTTGAGCGCTTCTGCGCTCTTTGCCGCCGCCATCATCGCGAGACACGCGGCAAATGTCGACCCGCGAGTTGAGCTCTGGGTCTTGGGGCGACGCTTTCTTGCGTCTCGTAGCAGTCACGACGCGACCTGGCGCGTCCCCGCCACGATGTGCGACCTCGGCTACCTTGCCGACGGTGCTCCCCCGATGCGACGCCTCGCCGCATCGCTTGGTCGTCTTCTTGCCAAGCATCTTCTCGCCGACCTTGATCTCATGGTCTGCGTCTTTCATGAGGCCCTTGCTCTCATGAGCTGCCTCAGGCCCGGACGTAGTCGCACACACAGTCTCCATGACCGCTGCTTCTTCGTCAGGCCGCGCGCTGGCTTCGAGGCACTCGAGCGCGCGCGTTGGTGCGTTGTCCTTGAACGCATTGACCGTTGTCGCCTTGTTCTCAACCGTCGTCGTGCCAGTCTTGCCCTCATCTTGCGCGCCTCGTCCCTCGGAACTTGAGACGTAGCAACAGCCGCGCCATCACTTTCAGGACCAGCTGCGGCGCAGTGTTGCTGCTCAGGCTGCACATGCTTGCCCACCGAGATCGACAACTGACAATCTTGACGCTGCGTCTCTTCCACGAGCGCTGCGCACTGCGCCTGCTGATCATGGGCTTGTACATACTGCACTTGAACTTCGGGAACATAAACGGCCGTCTCGGGCTTGCCGTGGAGCATCAGCTCCACACAGCTTGGCTTCGTCGTAGCCGCTGTTGCCTTCCTGGCCTTGCGGGCCGCCCTTCTTAGCATCCGTTCTTCGTTCTCCTTGAGAGCGGTCGCGAGGTCTTGCCGCATCTGCTGAAGCTTTTGGACCATGCCGGCAAGTTGCGCATCACGAGCCTGCACCGACATGGCCATCGCGGCTTCATGGCTGTACAGGTGCTGTTGGCACTGCTGCTCACGACTGGCCTGCTCTTGGACCATTTGATGCTGGTCGAGCTGGGCCTGCTGCTGCTCGACGCAAGTTGCTCGCTGCTGCTCGACATAAGCCGCTCGCTGCTGCGACTCGACGTAGGCCGCTATCGACGCCTCGCGCTCGTACTGGTCTCGCCATGCCTGCTCCCGTTCGACCTGTCTCAGGTGATACGCTGCTGCGAGCGGACCCATCGGCTGCGCGGCCGCATGTTGGTGCCATGTCGCCGACACGTGCGACGGCGGCCCGTAGCTTGAGAGGCTTCCACGCCCTAATGCTAGGCCTTGATGATTTCGTCATCATGCGCTCTTGCGGAGGTGGCCTGGACCCACATGGTTCAGCCGCGTTCGGATACAGTGTGCGCACTAAAGATAGGCCACTCTGGTGCTGATCTCAATCACACGCGGTATGTATCGTGACGTAACGCAAGATGCTCCAATCGAAAGCTCTTGTCTCGTTGAGTCAGACCCTGCAATTTCAAATCAATCGGGCAAAGAGTTTTAGCGAAACGCCCAGAAAACCGCCGAATTCAGCTTTTTGGCGCGAAAAAATGATAGGCCACTTGAAGCTTTGTCCGCATTTTCTGGCCTCTCGTTGCAGCTACGCACTTCCAATTTTGCCACGGCCTAAGCAGCCACCCTCTCGGCCTTTGAAGATCCTCTGCAGTACTTCCGTCGACCAACCTCGCCGGATACTCGATGGGCCGCGGCACGAGACTGACCGAAGTCGAGCGAGCCCAAATTCTCGCCTTTCACACCGCCGGGTGGGATCCAGGAGCCATTGGCAAAGAGATCGGTCGCTCCCGAACGGTCGTACGCAATTTCCTCGCCAAGGGTGAAGGCTACGGTACGGCAAAGTCGCCCGGACGGCCACCCAAGATGACACCAGCCGGGCTACGAGCCTTCTACCGCGAAGCTGGGAAGGGCCGTATGTCATGCCGCCAGCTTGTAACGTCCCTGGACTCCCCGTGAGCATCCGCAGAGCTCAGCAACTGCTCCATTGGCATCCAAAGTTCCGATTCAAGAAGCGACTTGGCTGTCCACCGCTCACCCCAGAGCACCGCCAAGCCCGGCTCCGGTTCGCCTTCGATACGGTCGGCCAGGGCCTCGATTGGACCAAGGTGATCTTCTCCGATGAAAAGAAGTTCAATCTCGACGGTCCAGACGGCTGGCAATGCTACTGGCACCACCTGGACCACGAGGAGCAGATCTACTCGCGCCGCCAATTTGGTGGTGGCTCGGTCATGATCTGGGGCGCGTTTTCCGCCTTCGGTCTCTCCGAACTGAAGATCCTCGACGGTCGGCAAGACAGCTACGCGTACACCGTGACCCTCTCCGACTACATGCTGCCCACGGCGCACGAGTTCCACCCCGACGGCTTCATTTTCCAGCAAGACAACGCGTCGATCCACGTCAGCCGTGAGACGCGGCAGTGGCTTACCGACTTCGAGATCAACCTTTTGGACTGGCCAGCCCGCTCACCCGACCTCAACCCAATTGAGAACCTTTGGGCCATCATTGCGCGACGCGTCTACGTCAATGGAAGGCAGTTTTTGGACCGACAGCGCCACATTTCTGCGATCCTTCAATTTTGGGAAGACATCGAGCAAACAACACTGAAAAACCTGGTAGCGAGCATGCCCAACAGATGCCTACATGTTGTAGCTCGCATAGGTAGAAAATCCGGACATTAGAGTAGCGTCAAACGCCTCGTAACGACCCTATACATCCAAGTGGCCTATCTTTATTTCGTCGAAATATCGAAAAAATCACATGTTTTTTTCATTTTTGACCTCAAATCGTATCCAACGTGCATGAAAACTTGGCACATCAATGAACAAGTATTATGACACAATTGACAACTATCCATTGCCACTTCAGGCTGGTAGAAGTGTGTGAACCCCAGGTGGGCTATCTTTAGTACGCATACTGTACATCGCGCGACGCAGATAGGAGGGGGGCGGAGAACGGAAAAATGCGCGCGCGCAGCCGGGCTCGAACCGGCGACCTTCGGGGGACGCATCTCTCGTTGTTTAACTGTAAATATCTTTTCACATGACGTTGTTGGGTTATCACGCGGCAGAATCATTACCGATAATACTTGGACAGCCAGGCTTGGCTACGACTACCGGAGCTACTACCGGTACCGTCCGGTATAATAATTCCAGCGCGGCGGGCTGCGCTTCTTGTCTGTCTTTTCCTGTCTTTTCCTGTCTTTTCCTGCCTCCAAGAAAAGCCATCTTGCAACGATGTGATTGGCCCGTTTTTGTTGTCGAATTGTCTGGGCGATCGTGGATTGGTAGAAAATGAAGCCACTCACAAAGTTGATTGAGTTCCATTCGCCAATTGGGCCATCATGACTGACAAGGAGGTACGAAGACGTTCGCGTTGTCCTGCGGCCTGTGGTGACGACAGACTGGATCCATATACCGAGGAGAAGAATGCATCATCAGGATACACTGGACGTATAGAGAGAGCTGTACCAGGCGGCCGCGTATGGCGAGCTCGCCAGAGTCGAAGCGCTTCTCGACGACGGCGTCTACCCTGGCTGCGCTCCCTATGTACGCGCTCGGATGCATGACTCGATACATGCGTGCCATGTTTACATATGACTAGGGCAAATGGACGGTATTGCACCGCGCTGCTGCCTCTGGTCACGTGGCCGTCGTTCGCTGCTTGCTCGATAGAGGCGCCTACATTGACGCGCGTAGTGATGTACGTTGGTATGCTCTGATGGCACTATATCCGATGCAACTGACTAGCTTGGTTCTACACCTCTGCATATGGCCGCGAATCCGGCGGTCGTCGCGCTTCTCTTGGAGAGGAACGCCACCATCGATGCCAAATCAAATGTATGTACTTGTCGTCTTGTCGGATAGCGAGGGCAACTGACAATGGGGTGCACGGCGTAGAGTGGCAAGACAGCGCTAATGTACGCAGAGCAACAGAACGACGGTCAAATTGCACATTTGATTCGCGACTATCCCCAGAAGAAAGCATTTGACGCCAAGGTACTGCTTCGACATGCCATTTCCGTAGCGAGCGGGCACATTTTCCCTTTCTCCAACATTCTCAGTCGCTCGTGTAGAGAGCAGCGATGGCAATGGCCACGACCAACACGGACAAAACGCCAGCGCAACCAAACGTTGACCAGCATCCCGAGGTTGGATCTTGTGCTTTGTCTGGTACACGGATGGCCACAAGCTCACTACCTAGAGCATCCAGCAAGTGCAAACAGCTTCAAGCCGCGTACCCTCCATCATTGGATTCTTCCAGGTTGACGCAAGCTCTGGGGTAGGAGCTCGTCGACGCGCTGAGCAACGGCGAATACAGCCAAGTGCTAGCGCTGCTGAACGATGGTGCTAATCCCAACTCTACCAACGAGGCAAGTGCCCCCTGCAAGCCTCTGGTGCTTGTATAATTGGATGTAATCAATGCAGGCGGGCGACTTGCTTCTGCACCTCGCAGTGCGCCGCGGCGAACGCAAGGTACTGGATGCTCTCCTCCGGGCACCCGGTATTAACATTGACGCTCGCAACTCGGTATTGCACCTTGGACGATGAAATTAGCGACGACGTCATTGATTTGGTAGGCGGGCGTGACGCCAATGACTCTGGCCATCCAACTGGGCCATCGACGCTTTGCAACGACGCTGCAGACAGCCACGCACAACACCGCCCTCGAGGTTGGCATCTCTGAGTATGCGCGACGACACGTTATCACTATGGTAGGTGCCATCCTCAGCTATAGAGATGGACGTGTCTAGTCCACTGGGCGTCGGTGCGTACGGTGCCGTGTACAAAGGCAGCTATAACGGCCGAGCGGTCGCGATCAAGACCGCTGCCAACGCCTCGTGCACTGGCGCACTCGTCGATGAAGTGGAAACCATGCAATTGTACGTACAACATGTCTACTTTAGCCTGGACGACTTTGTTGAATCTTTGTTTATGATTAGGTGCAACTCGCCGTACGTCCTTTCGCTGATTGCGGTCGCAGACGCTAGCACGACCCACCCCAAGCTCGTGCTCGAGTACATGGATGCGGGCGACCTGCGCAGCTACCTCGACGCCAAACTACTTGGTCAACCGACCAAAGTCGATGTCTCAGCCCTCGAGGTCGCTTGGGTCCTTGCCAACGCGCTTGCTGATATGCATCACAACGACCTCCTCCACCGCGACCTCAAGAGCCACAACGTCCTTCTCTGCTCCAAAAACTATATCAAGCTTGCCGACCTTGGTATCGCACGCGAGCACGAGTCCAACATGACGACGGGCAAGGGCACGCCGTACTGGACTGCACCCGAAGTACTCAATTCCGGCAGTCACTACAGCTTTGCTGCCGACATTTACGCGTTTGGCGTGATTTTGACCGAGCTCGACACGCTCGAGCTGCCCTTTCACGACGTCAAGGACCTCGGGTACTGGAAGATCATGGATGGGGTGCGCATGGGCCACCTCCGTCCGACAGTGCGCACGAATGGCCCGCGCTGGCTCCGAGACGTTGCAAATGCGTGCTTGGCGTTCGACCCGACGCAACGTCCGTCGGCGCAGATGCTCGTGAGCTCACTCCAAAAGCTACTTGGCCGCAGCAGCGAAGAATTAGTGCGGGAGCCAGAGACCGAACCGTCGACAGCGCGACTCGTGGTAAGATTGACTGCCCGAATGAGTGGAAGTGGAGCCGCATGGACATATCTCTTGTAGACGCCAACACCCGAGATCTTCCTCGCGTCGTTGCGTACGTCGTCAGCTAGCACCATGTCCACGGACGCTTCCAGAGCGACGACGACGTCGTCCTCAGCATCCGTGGGCACGACGGTGCGACTCTTTACCCTAGCCCCAGCGACAATTTGTGACCGGACTGCTTCTTGTAGACGTCTTCGTCCTGGTCCAACTCGGTGCTCGTGAGTACACGTATCGTGTGCCAGGCGTGCAGTGCGTCCAACCCTCTCTCGGAGCCGTGTTGCGAGACCTGCGGGGGAGCGCTAGCGTCGTCTGCGACCAAGCTCAAGGTGCTCCAGAAGCGTCTGTCGGTCGCACAAAAGAACGGTGTCGAGATTGACACGCGCCTTCTTTGCGTCTGCTGCAACGCGTGGCAGACGATAGATGCCACGATCTGTGACGTCTGCGAGGATGACATGCCTGACGACGACGCCAAGTTGCGCATTCTGGTCCAGCGCATCGCGATCGCGACCAAGTCGGCGGCCTAAGAACTGGATCACGATGGCTGCGTGCACGAATGCAAATACATATAACGTAGGTCATTGCGCTTTCATAATACAAGGGCGTTGACAAAAATGACTCCGGCGTCGCAAGCAAAGTGGCAGAGGGCGTGTGACGGTAGGAAAATGGGCACTGATGGATGTAGGAGGTGTAGTTGCAGGGATCCGTGGATGCGTAGAGTACTGTACAAGTAGCGGCTGTATGATGACCTCGTTCAATGGTAACTGGCATCGTTAGTGTCGGCGTCGACGAATTGTACGGTTTGTCTATCGCTCCATGTTTCGGCTTGCAACATGCACTTGATTAACCGCGGCTCGAGCCGAAAAAGACCGGCTCAGGCTCCATTTTTCGAGTCGAGCTGAGTGGAGCCGGCCAAGCCGTTCGAGCTGTGGCTTCGTGTATCAGTCAGTACTAAACGCTGGTTCTCACATGTGCATCACCACAAGTCCTCTTTAGGCGCAGTTGAAGGTTGCTCGAAATGCTAACTTTGCTGCTAACGAATTGTCGTTGAGGTAGCGATGAGTGGTCACACTACACGTCCACGGATCAAAACGTCGTCCATGAAAAAGAAGAAAGCGATGGATCTTAACACTAATACGTTGTTTTCCAAGGACTTGTATGTGAACGACACCGACCTCAAGCCGCAGCCCGTCTCTTTGAGCCGACCATCGATGAGCGCTCTGTCCTCGATTGCAGAGACGGAGCCCTAGCCACTTCTCACCCCACCAATTTGTCGCTTTTATCCCTTTTTTGCCAATAAGAACTGCATTTTTGATTGTATACCATGGCATCATTTGTGACCACAATGGATTTGATCCAACAGCGAACGACGAAATCGTTTCAAACAAGGTTGGCTGCGCCTCGTACTACCTTGACGCCAAGGGAATAATAAAACATTTTACTGGTAGGAACCTCTGGTTACACCAGCCCAGGGGGGATTAATTGTCTGTCCGTCTGTCCGTCTGTCTGTCTGTCTGTCTCCGTGTCCGCGGCTGCAGTGATTGGTAGAAACTGTGTCCGCGGCTGCAGTGATTGGTAGAAATTCAAAAGATACTTTCTTCGCGGCGTGTCGCTGAACCTCTTTCCCATTGGTCAAAATTCCCTGATACAACCGATGTGTCCCATCTTGGCGCCATGTCGCTCGAGCTCTGTGGCGTTGCGCCGGGGTTGTCTGTGTGCACCACCATCTCAGAAAAGCATGCACGCAACAAAGGCGAGCAACACCTGAAGAGAAAGCTGCGCGGCTCCAAAAGTAGCGCCAGGGTAAAGCCAACGCACGCGCCGCTCAAAAGGCGAGAGACACGCCGACGCAGAAGGCTGAGCGGCTCGCGGAAACATTCTCTGTCCGTTTACAGCCGTGTTGTCTCCTCGTCCCACTTGATGTGCGTCCCTCGCCACGCTTGGCCACGTGTCCAACGATCTGCCTGCGTTTCTTGATAGTATAACCCTCGCGCCGTCGTCACAGCTACACTCGCCAACACAACTTGAATCGGCCAATGCCACCACAGCAAGTCGTGGCAAGGGGACCGATCGACAATTTCGAATTCAACTACCCCGTGCTCGCCTTCAACGGCCACTTGCAACGATATGTCCGTCGCATTCCTCGAGCGCCTCATTGCACGAGGCGCCCGCAGCTATGTGCCGGACCCGGCATCACGTTGGCTTTCCTGGCAGTTAGCAGCGTCAGCCTGGCCAACATCTTCGCCGACAGCACGCAAGATGCGGTCACAAACTGCATGCCCTGGAACTCACAACCCTTCACATAACACAATGAGCGACGCGGAAGACCCACGCTTGAGGTGTTTTGCACTTCCACCGACTCAACTTTCCCTCAAAATGAGGTTTCCTACCAGCCCACTCCGCAGGAACCTAGTTTGTTTTATTCCATTGCCTCAGAAAACCAATGTCGCAACGTGCAGCCCTACGCGGTAGACAATACTCTCCACACGATATTATAAAACACGAATGTCTCGCAACTCGCTCGTAGATTGAGCCTTAAAACGACCGCGAGTACTTTTTGATTTCGTATAAAATCTCTTGGGTCGTGACAATCTCGGTCGTCGCGCGGCCGGCCTTCTTGCCAAGCTCGAGGAACCGCGTGTAGTACAAGAGGAGTTGCGTGAGCACTTGCTTGAGGATCTCCATGCCGTTGCGAAAGTTGGAGAAAAACTTCATCACGTTCCCGTTCATCTTGTCAATGCCGCTCTTCCAGTTGGCGTTAAAGTCCTTGGTGATGCGGTCGACTTTGGCCCCATCCGGTGCGACGCCTCTCGCCTCGGTCTGCTGCACAAACGTAATGAGCGGTCCGTACCACGTCACGAGCTCCTCTTCCACAAACTTGTCGCGCTGGCCCATGAGGAGTTCGTCAAACTTGGCCGTCTCGTCCGACGTGATCTTGCGCTCCGTCACGACGCTCGTCACGAGGTCATAGTTGTTGATGAGGAAGACGCACTTGTCCTTGGAGTTCTTGTGCACCTCCGAGAGCTTCTCCAAGAGCAGGACCAGGCCGTCCCGGAGCGCGGCGAGGCCGTTCAAGATCGTTGCGCCGCTCGCTTCGTCGTCCATGGGCGCCAGCGTCAGAATCGACGCGACAAGCTCGGCGTAGCGCC